CACACACACACACACACATACAGTATATATATGTACACAGTAAAACCTCGGATCGTGAGCATAATTCGTTCCGGATACGTGCTTGTAATCCAAAGCATTCGTATATCAAAGCGAATTTTCCCATCAGAATTAATGTTAACTCAGATGATCCAACCCACACCCCAAAACTATTCATATAAGAGTGATTAATACGAAATATAAAGTAAAAATACATAAAACAAATTAACGACGAGAGAGAGGAGAAGAGGAGGGTTATAAGACCTCGCTCGTTTAAGTTAAAGTTAAAATAAGTTAAAATTTATAAAAAAAAATTTTTTGCTCGTCTTGCAAACCAAGTTACTCGCAATCCGAAGTTTGACTCTCTCTCTCTATATATATATATATAAAACCTTAAACATCATATTTCACATTTTTTAATTCATTTCCTTTAAGAGTATCCTACTGTACAGCATAAATATTAAATACAGTATTACCGAATGAAATGGCTTCAACGTAACTAGCTACTTTTTCCTCTAGCTTGTGGTGTAGCTCTCTACTATATTAAAACAGTACTGTAGCTTGGCTGTAGTTTAACTCCTTTTAAACATACGTAGCTTGTAGCTTGAAAACCTACTGCTTAAAAGTAGCTTCCCAAACACTGGTTAATTGTAACTGGTAATTGTACAGTAATGTATTTGTTGAGTACATATTTTTGTGTGATTTTGTTTTGGATCAGCAGTGTTTGGTATGGGTAAGCAGTTATATACATTTAATAGATGAAAAACCTTCTCTTTTTGCACATTGGAGATTAATTAGAACAATGTGGATTGATGGAAATAATTAATATGGAATTCAATAAGTCAAACAGACACATTCCAGTTGTATTGCAAGTATCTTTTTTCTCATAACAACAGCATATATTTTCTTGTCCCAGTGGAAAGATGATGTTGATGCTGGCTTTAATGAGGAGAACTTGTGTTACTGCACCGCCGATCTGTTCGTGGGTGGAAGTGAGACTACAGCTACTACGCTGTACTGGGGCTTGCTGTACATGATCAAATATCCAGACATACAAGGTTAGTTTTATTTTCTTAACCATATTTTGGAAGAATAAAACAGTCCTACTGTATAACCACTACAGAGAACACATTTCCACTCTGTGATAAGTTGTCTGAAGAAATAATATAATAATAATTGTTGTAATTATAATCATAATTAGGTCTGGTGTTTAAAGTCCAGGATTGTAACCGTGATCAATGGTAGCCGCTTATATGAAAAATAATTACAGCTGTAACAGTAACAATGGAAATTGCCTTCCGTTCCACAACACTGCTGTCACGCTTCGCTGTCAGGGAAGAGGCAAACCCCAATATGCAGGAAAACACCTTAATGGGTGAGAGATGGGACGATGAGACGAAGGGACAGGGAACACGATGAGAATGGACCAGGAAGGCAGGGCGAAGAGGGCAGGCAGGGCAGGCAAGGCAGGCAGTGCTAAATGGAGGCAGGCGAGACAGCAGGGCAGGACGGGAGCGACAGAGGACAAAGAAATGCTCGGTACATGTCATGGGTCTGGCAACAATAATTTGCGATTACTTAGAGATCACGTCTGTTCTAAATAGCGCCCTTAATTAGGAGGCAATTGCCTGCCGTTGCGCTGCCCCACCACTGTGGGCGTGACAACTGCAGCAGTGCTAAATGTTTTACAGGGGAGGCGTTCACTTGCTTTGTCTATATGTACCCTATTCTGTTTTTAGAGAAGGTGCAGGCTGAGATAGACAGTGTGATTGGACGGTCACGTCAGCCCAGCATGGCAGACAGACCAAACATGCCGTACACTGACGCCGTCGTCCATGAAATACAGAGGATGGGCAACATTGCACCACTGAATGCACGTTCAACCACGAAAGACACAGAGCTGGGAGGATACACAATTCCAAAGGTGAGGAATGAAATTGCACATGAAGCTTGTTATAGTCGTTCATGTAAAGCTGACACCTTGACATGTTCTTCCCATGTGAGGTTACGCTCGTAATGTTTCAGGGGTCTTTGTCTGTGCATTAGGGAACAATGGTGATGGTGACATTACACACTGTGCTCTTTGATGAGACTGAATGGGAGACTCCCTTCACTTTCAATCCTGGACATTTCCTGGATGCAGAGGGGAAGTTCAGGAGGAGAGATGCCTTCATGCCCTTTTCAGTTGGTAAAATTTCCAACCCGATGATTCCTACTGCAGTTGCTTCTTTATTGTTAAATTATCTTCTGAAGGTGCATGTAATAGGATTATCGTAAATACATGAAAGTGTTATTTTTAGAGTTTTAAAAATGTTTTTCCACAGGGAAGAGAGTGTGTCTGGGGGAGCAGCTGGCTCGGATGGAGCTCTTCCTGTTCTTCACCTCCCTTCTCCAGCGCTTCACCTTCTCTACACCCCCAGGCATGGAGCCCAGTCTGAAGTTCAAATTGGGTTTAACACGCTGCCCAAAACCCTATAAGCTATGTGCTACCACCCGCTGAGTCTGTCTATTCCATATCATTTAAAAGCTATCTGCCAGAAATAATCGACTGACAGTTAAAAATAAGTAAAAGTTTCTTGAACACATCACTGTCCTTCTGTAATGAACCATACAGAGGTCCAGTTGTGGATTCATCCATAATGATAAATTTTACCAATAGCAAAGACAAAATCCTCATAGTCATTACAGTAAACATGTAAACAGGCAAGATGTCAGTATCCAAACCAGAGCAGAGCAATAGCAGATGGGGAATCCAAAAGTTGAAGTTGAACAAACAGGTGATAAGTGAGAGACGGGGGTTTTAACAATGGGGGAGAGAGTTCACACAGGGTCACTGGTTCCTTGGAAAATCCAAGAGAATTGTAGGCATACTCTGCACAGTTGATATACTTGCTCCACTCATCCTGATTTGTTGTGTCAGTCGCTTATTTCAGATGTTCTCTTTATCTGTTGAATTGGGGAGGTATTCCAGCGTTAGGTTCACACTCCCAGTCTTCTGCAAAACTCACCACACTGGAGAGGTGAACTGGGAACCCTGGTCCAGCTGAATGCCTTGCAGTGGGGTCTTTATCTGGGTGTAAAAAGGACTGGACAATACATAATCTTCCACCGTTGATGATGACCAAAATTTATGTCCAAGATATTTGTGTGTCCTGGTGACAGTGGATGGCCAGAGCCAGAGACAACACAATGAAGAACAAGTCTGTAGTGCAGTACAAGACATATTATTTGTGCAATATGGCAAATGGAGCACAGTATAGAAGAATAAATAAGGATAAAGTTTAGATACAGATAAAATGCAGGTTGCCATTTTAAAAATGGCAACATAATGAAATGGGAGATATATATTCTGTAATGTATTGAGTTTGAGTGTAGATGGTGTATGTGTGTTTTGTGCCTATATTTCAGATCAGTCCTCAACAACAAACTCCATTCTATCCTGTAACTCTGTCCTGCTTTTCACTTCTGCCTCTGCTGAGCTCCGGAATTCCAGTTCAATTATTGTCTGCTGCTCTATTTCACCAGGCAGGGAATAAAAACTTGTTCATTCATGTTTGCTCCTTTTGCTTGTGATTTCATGCTCAGCTTTGCTTTGATTCTGTAGTATTTGACTTTTTGGCTCTTTATTAGATTATGATACTTTGGCTTTGGTCACTCAATTGTATGTATTTCTGTATTATGTTGTAATGATTGATCTTTTTTTGGGGGGGGGCTTTCACATGTATTTGTCAAGAAAGGGAGGTGAATTGTTATGTCGTTTTCATTTCTGGTAGGTTCCGTTAGAAATAAGTTTCCTTTCATCAGTTAGTTGTGGGTGTTTTGTTTATTATTTTGGTTTTGGTCCTTCCTGATGCAAATCCTTGCACAATGTAATTCTCCAGTCAATACACTGTTCCAGTTTCTTTTACATACTGTACCTTGCAGTCTCTTGGTTTCTTTATTGTATCTGCTTTTGTAGTGGCACAAGGGAAAAGATTGGAATTTTTGTCGACTATGCTACCTAGGGGATGGCTACCACCTAGGAATTAACTAATAAGTACACTATCTACACCCATATTCTACATATGCACAGGTGAGGCTCACAGATTCATTGCCGCAATGAAGCAGAGACAGGATTCTATAAAACAAATACATTTATTACTTTCACTCTGCACCAACAAGGGTGACAGAAAGACAGGGGACCAAGAAACTATAATTAAATAGCTCCTTTTCTTCATTTTCAACGGCCGACACAAACCCACTACTGGTTCCCTCTCTCTGGTTCCTCTGCTCATACGGGGAATGACCGAACAAGATCACCGTATAGCCTATTAGGATAGGCAATACCAAGTCAACCAGGGCCCAATTAATGTAAAGATCACATTGATTAGGAGGCTACATACCAGCAGATAACAATGAGGCCGCACAACACTCGCTGTTGTTCACCACAAAAGCGTTCCAGTCTCTGAATGCTTCCGAAGCAACACTCCAAACTGCGCCCTAGCCCATTGGGAAAACTTAGAATGCCTAATCACAAAATACAACCACAGAGTATCCCCATTTAGACATACCTTCAACGACGCAGCGCTCAATGCTCACCAGCTATTCCACACAGCCAAAACGGAACCAGTAGTAACCCAATACAGATGGAGAGGGGGCAAACACACGGCACTTAATCTTGACACTCACCTCACTACTTCCCAGCCGACTTCATGAAATAGCCCCCAGACCAATTACCGAGTGTAATGTGACAAATAAAATTGCCTCAGGTGTAGCGCAAATGCAATGGCTCGTCTTTAAAGGGACATGCACCCCATTTCAACCCACTACACTTAAACGTACAAATATCCAAAATGCAATCACTGAACGCACCACATCTTTCTGTATGCCAAACCCTAGACTGGGACATAAGTCAGTCGCTGGTTAGCAGTATGAACGCATGGGAAGTGAAACGGTCTCTGAGCTAGGTGGTGATGCACCGGTGGCACTTTCCAGAGGGCAGGAGTGTGAGGGAGGGAGCTGGGTGGCTGGCGTCCCTGATGATGGACCCAACCCTCTTCTGGCAGTTGGACAGGTAGATCAATTGGAGCTATTAAAAGTCTGTGCTGATGATCTTTGAAGCTGTCTGTACAGTCTTGCGCAGTAATTTGAGGTCCAGAATGCTTAGGTTACCTAACCACACCATGATGCTTCCAGTCAGGATGCTCTTAATTAGAGGTATCACAATATACCGGTGTTGATGATAACCATGATATTTATAAAATTAAATATTGATATTGTGTTAATAATGCACATATGATAATATTGTAAATAATCCAGTGTCAGTGACTATTTGATTCACACTCCAACATAGTAGGTGGTGGTATTGCTCTTTAACACTGGTTTCCAGAGCCCATAGAGGACACAGACTAATTGAATATCATGATATGAGGAGGCGGAGCACACTGATTTTGAATGATGTCTCACACACAAAGATAAGGAGCTATTAAATACATAAAAACGTAACAATGCAATATTTTCTATCAACACCTGTTACTTAATTTTCTTCACCAGGGAGGCAGAGGGGGTTCAGGTCGGGGGCCTCGGGATCTCATCTTTGCTTTTTTGCGGATGACATAGTCCTGTAGGCGTCGTTGACCAGTGACCTGCAGCATGCACTGGGGTGGATTGCAGTTGTGTGGATCAGCACCTCCAAGTCTGAGGCCATGGTTCTCGACTGGAAAAAGGTGGATTGCCCTCTTTTGGTGGGGGATGAGTTGTTGCCCCAACCCAAGGAGTTTCTCGGGGTCTGGTTCAGGAGTGAAAGATGAAGAGAATGGAAGATCAACAGGCAGATTGGTGCAGCGTCGGCAGTAATGCGGACGCTGTATTGTTCTGTCGTGGTGAAGAGAGAGCTGACCTGGAAGGTGAAGCTCTTGATTTACCAGTCGATCTATGTTCCTACCCTCACCTATAGTCATGAACACTGGGTAATGAATGAAAGACAAAATCGCGGATACAAGCAACAGAAATGAGTTTCCTTTGTAGAGTGTTTGGGGTCAAACTTAGAGATAGGGTGAGGAGCTCAGACATTCGTGAGGGGTTCAAAGTAGAACCGCTGCTCCTTAGCATTGAAAGGAGCCAACTGAGGTGACTCGAGCATCTATCTATGATGCCTCCTGGATGGCTCCCTCAGGAGGTGTTTCGGGTATGTCCAACCGGGAGGAGACCCAGGGGCAGACACAGGACAAGCTGGAGAGATTATATCTCTCGACTGGCCAGGGAACGCATGGTATTCCCCAAAGGAGCTAAAGGAGGTAGCTGGTGAGAGGGAGATCTGGGCATCTCTACTAAGACTGTTACCCAACCCCGGCAGAAAGTGAATGGAAAAAATGTAAATGCACAAAAAAAACTGAGATCTGACTGCCAACGGAGAAGCACTGTGGTAAACAATGCCTTTGTTTTAGTCCATATTACAATTTGCGGTGCTAAGCTACCGAGCTAAAGTTATAGATAAACCTTCTGTTAACAAAGTTAGCAAAACCCAAAAAACTTTACAAATCCTTCACTGGTTTAGGCTCAAGCCATTCACAAACTGCTTTAACTTTTCTTTCATCCATCCTTATCCCTTGTGCGCTCAGGACTTACCCTAGGAAGGAAATGGTAGATTTACGAAACTCACATTTCCTAGCCATACAGCCAGTGTTCCAGTAGATGTTTAAGCACTGCAAATACATTTATACTGCATAACCAGGTACAGTACTGTGAATAAATCGGTATACTATATATGCATGTAGACAATCACAAATCTCATGTTTCTAGACACCTCATATATGAAGAACGGGAGCACTGTGAAGTAACCAATCCATAGGGCATAATCAGGAACTCACAGTACCCCTTGTGGTTAGAAATGCAGTTTTCCAATCATCCCCCTCATGGAAACATATCACAAGTAATACGAAGGTCGATTTAGAGAAAACTGTAGGAAATTTTGACAGTGAGGTAGATGGTCTGATAAACCTGCTCGCTAAGGCATCATCTATCACTGCGTAAGAAGTGGTTTTGTATCTGCCATCAGAGTCAGCAAGGCTTAAATTGTGTTCTCAGTTTTGTGTTCATTCAGTAGAAATAAATATTTGTTTGAACTTGTAATAAAATGAGCCAAGGTAGGAACTAAGGTAAATGTTGTAGTTACTTAGCAGATTAGATTTTGAGAACAATTTCCGTTTTTTTTTTCTTCTAAAACTAAGTGCCGAGCACTAGTCAAGTTCATGTTCATGTTAAGGGAAATATAAGCTTCTTGCCTAGTTATTTTGCTATTCGAAAGAGCAATTTGAAGGATTTTCCACTTCGATAACGCTTACGAGGCCAATGAGGTATATATGTACATTTTTCCTTTAGGTTTTGATTATGTCTGTTATGGGGAATATGGTGATATGGTTGGCTAACATGCTAGCTATTTTCTATAGCTTATTAGTGTAATAGATAATTTACTTATATTTTATGTACATATTATATGAATGATTAACTGGCACTATGGGCGGAGCTTAGTGGTGGGGCTCTGATGATGTCACAGGGGGAGGGTTTGTTCCTTTATGCTGATTCTTCAGATGTAGTTTGATTGACGGGTCCAGGTGGGTGTTTCCCATTATGCTGGTATGGCAGATGTGGTTTGATCGATAGGACCATCTGTTTCCAAAGATAACAAGGTGAAAAAACAGATGTCACCAAAGCGATTTCAATAATCTTTAAAAGAATAAAAATACATTATCTGTATTTCTTAATGTTCTATTTTACATATGCTTTAAGGAATAAAAAACTCGGACTTGTCAATCTTCTGTTAGAGATGAAAGAGGGGCAGACACCTATAGGTACTATGAGTAAAAAAACATTAGTCGTGTTCGTTAACATGTTATTTTAAACAAATACTTTATTTTATAGTAGTAAAAAACTTATCCAGCAAATTTCTAAGGAATGAATTTTTGCATTTTAGCTTTGTTTTACAAAGTTTAGTCAGAGTTAGCTCTAGTATTCCACAAGGTCCATTGAAAATGACAGGATGGGGGGAGGAGAGGCCGGACAATGGGTCCTTTAGCGCTCACAGCAGGGTGGCACATCCACCATTAGCTATATGTATCATACTGACAGTGTTTCCGTATGACCACCATTTCTAGTCATCAGTCAATAATAGTTTATTTTAGGACCCTCTTTTTCCATGCGATTTCCATTTTTGGTAATCAACTAATAATTTTTAATTGTATCACAAAGTATTTTTAATTACTATTTTTAATTAGTTTAATTACTAAACTAAGTATTTTTAATTGTATCACAAAGACTCCTTGATGTGAAAAAAAACATTGTGTTTCAAGACAGATGCCGATGGCCACTTTATAGCAAAATGGTTTCAATAGTCTTCCCAGGTTTCACTGCAGAAATGAAGCAGGTTTTTGATCGCTCAACCCATGGCAGAGAGGCAGCACGCGAATTGCTACTGCTCCATCAAGGCAACCGCTCGGTGTCTGATTTCGCCATCGCCTGTCAGACCCTTCCGCTGTCCATGGGCTGGGATACGCAGGCTCAGTTTGATGCTTTTTATAATGGGCTATCGGAAGAAATGTATGAGCTCGTCCAAGCATCCCGCTGAAGCTATGCAGGTGGACTGAACCCGTTTATCCCCTGCAGAATGACAATGGTGACGGACTGCCAATGCCTGTCTGTACTGTGGGCAGATGGGACATTATATTGCTAAATGCCCAGTAAAAGGATGCACCCACCAGTAAAGAGGAGGGCCCTGGTAGGTGTAGCTCCAATATTTCCCTCCACAGTTCAACACACCTTTTTACCGGTGCTGCTCTCTTACAGAGAGATCCAGCAGCCCTTAGCCGCCCTGGTTGACTCAGGAGCAGGTGACAATTTTATTGAATCACACTGGTCCACCAAGGGAGACTCCCTAC